CGCAATGGCGTAGAATTTAATGCTCAAGATCTAGTCCGGTGGCGGGCTCTTGTAAATACGACGATGGACCTTCTGGTTCCGTAAAAGGTGGGAATTTCTTGACTAGTTGAGCGACAACGGTCTATATTTTAAGGCACTATGCAGTATTTAACATTGGGGGAAACATGTCGCTAAGGAATAATTTCAGCAGTACTTCCGAACCTGGAAAGAAGGTGATTAATGATAGGTTGAAAAGTAATCAAGGTTTGTGCAATATTTTTCGGTAACCAATGTCTAACATTAAACAGGTCTTTACATGTTATAACAAATGTCATATGAACTCCGGCTACCCTTCCAGAACATGTTTGTTGTGTGAGAAACTGAAGTATTTGAATAGAGCCAGACTTGCGAGATTAGAGCAAAAGTCTTTCATGCAGATGGTAAGGCGCATTTTATTCTTCTTCTTCTTCTTCCTCTGTGGGTTAGGACACAGCCTATTCCGGTCTCTGGTTTTCCCTCCATCGTTTGCAGAGCTAATTTACTCGATATACGTGATATCAGGAGATGTAAATAGAGATTAAACCACATGATTTCCACAATTTGTAGATCCTCACCTCTTTCAACAACCGCCATTGCTGTGGGTTTTGAAGGGATGGAGAGATGAAGTATCCAATGCAAATCAAATACCACCTAGTTCTTCCTTTACATAACGCAGATGACTGTGTGTTTATTTCAGCTTTATGCATGAGTTTTGTGAACGGTTTGCTAAGATCCACACGTGCTCACCCATTAGGCTAGACATTCTCGAAGTTTCATCCCACATTGCTACTAAATTTCTTATTTTTGTGACTATTATTTTAATAATACATCATTTGGCGAATGCTTACTATTATTAAGCTCAGAATCTTCTGTCTTATCGTGTCCTATCTAGGTATCTGAAGATTGAAATTAAGAATTTATCTATTTACCTGTTGCTTTTACGTCTACAAAACTTGATCTGTCTTTCTGCCCTTCAACTGGTCAAGATTGTAATCTTCTCTCCAAGTTATTTGTCGTAGAAAATAAAAATTAACTGGAACAAAACTAATGGATAGCATGCATGTACTCAGTTTTTCAGATTTTATGCGTGGAAGTATTGGTTCAATTTATTTAACAGACAAGGTAGTCTTTCGCAAAACCCCATCTCATAGGATCAAGGGAGACTAGAAGTAGACATGGTGTGACGTAAACATCTGCCAGAAACAAAGCAGTCGCGAGAAGCAACATTTTCGATGAATATTTAAGTCCGTGAGCAAATTTCGTAAAACCTCGTGCTTTTGTCCGTAACTAGGATACACTTTTTGCATTTTCTCTGTCCATATTTTTCATAATATGGAACCTCACAGATCCAATTTCTTTGCTTGAATTCTGAAACTGGCGAAATATCTTTCACTGGAATTGGGACGAGATTTTCCAGATGTCGTACAAAGTCCGTTTATGTGAATGCTGTGGACACATTACAAATCACAATTATAATTTCTGTTTTAGTTACGTTTGCTGGTATTGTAAGGCGCATTCCGACATTGGATCGGATCTTATTTCCGATAAAGTCGGACCACCATCTGGCAGTTTTGGCAGAAATATTGTTTTCTAATACGTTCAAATATTTTGTAATAATTTTGCTTTAAAGCGGGGGGAAAAATAAATAGAGGTTTCAGCCTACACATATTTCTAACAAAAATTTCAAATCGTATCTGCTTTTAAACGTGCAAACTACATGCGAAACGGCGATTAAAACTCCACCTACACACATGTTGTTAACATGCCCCTGCCAGAACGATAACACAGAGCACCAGTCGGGAAATAAGCTGTGGTCGTAACGTGAGTCATTTGACCATGTTTTCAAATAAACATGTAGTTTTGTAATCCGCGGAGCAAACATTTATGTAAATTTTTTTTTTTTTGGTCCCAAGACCTCTAATATTTTGATAGAAATATCTAAACAGTTTAATGACTAAATGTTAAACATGGCAAAACTACCTGTGTTTACATCACAATCGATTTTTGACAATGACAGACAGCATTACCACAATTTTACAGAACTGAGTATGCACCATTAGCATTATTTCCAGATTTTAATTTAGGAGAAGAAATAAAAACGCTTGTGACACTCGCATTATTAGTGGTCGTGGGTTTCCGACACTGGAGTCTGCTGACTACAACTTCTCTGCGTCTTGGAGTGCAGAAGAAAGGACCTAGAGTCAGATTTATCTTTCCAACTGCCATTTGTTGATGGCGCAATACGGCCGGCGATTAGACTTTGGACGTCCTTGGTTTGAACCTTAACTTGAGAGACCTCAACAACCAGTTTGGTAACCATGGCTACCACGAAGTGGCCCGAGAATTTCAATATCTGATTGATCATTAAGACGTACTGTGTCGTTCTGAAGACTTTTAGAATCCTTCTTTCAGAAAAGGGACAAAGCTAATTACCTCCCTAGTTGTGCCAGACATTGACAACGACCGTTCACTCTTGTCTCATGTGCCCTGGAAGTCTTGATAAGCTTTGTACAGGCTTCACTCTTGTCGTCGATTTGCTAGAGGCAGTACAAATTGCTAGCTCTGTGTCACTAATCTTCAAATAACCGCAGTGAAATCGGGTATTACAGCTTCCGCACACATAATAACCTTCTGTTTTCAATAGAATTCCTGTTCGTACCGGGGGCACAAATCCTTCCTGGCTGCCTTAAGAATCCGGCGGAATAACGAAACGCAGTGAACTTTGTAGCACAGGTGGCAATGCGGGATCACAGAATACGCCCGCTCGTCTGGAGCTCGCGTGATGTTGATGATGATACAACAACAAGAACGCTTAATTTTTGTTTGTAAGGTAAAACGCGTAATTTATAGATCCGAACGATGTAGAAATTCCCAGAAAACTGGTGTAATCATATTCTGTGTCGACTTGCTGCCTGCTACAGCCTTTCTTCTTTAAAGATTTCCCGTAAAAACAGCCACTGCCACTGCAGGCAGGAAGAACAGTCACATTTTTGCTATATATGAACATGGACTTCTTCTTGGATTTTGAGTCGAACTTTCAGAAGAGCTCATTGCCTCCATCACAAGCCCTGTTGATTGAAGTAGTATGATTCTCCGAAACGTCAGTTAATAACTGTCATATTACACGGCAAAAACTCCCAGAAGACAGCCGTGTACATACGCGCCTTCGTGAAAACCTGAAATTTCAACATTTGCTTTTTGTTATTAGTGGCATTGGACCTTAAGGTTACGCTGGAAATCTTTTTCAGAGAATCCTTTCATAACTGCGGCCACATTGCTTTGAATACCCAGCGAATTGGAAATGCAACGCTTTACAGGAGATATTTAGATTATGAAATATGAAAACTAGAATATAAACAAACAGGCGAGTACGGTAGATGTTTAGAACTTGTCATTTTATAGCAAATATCACTCCATCTAATGTTCTTTTAGAAGAACAAGTTCGTAAATGGTTAATGTTGTGACGTAAGACCTAGCCAAGCACGCAATGTCGAAATAAGGAACTAGGTCGAATAACTGTAACCATTTACTTAAGACTGAAAATTCAGAAGGAATTGATTTTAAACTCCAAGAGACATTGAATAATGCGATCATGTCAGAAAGATCAATACAAGAAGCTACATATTTAGACCAGTGAGGCGGTCAGAAAATATGGTGTACCATGAGAAAAGACAACCGGGAGTTTCGGTGTGGACGGACAGAGGAAATGTAAGGAAGACGTCTTTTGAAATAACCGGTCTCCACGCCTCTCAATTACAGACGGGAATACTAACCACTACACAGCGACGTTCATACATCTATAGATTCCCATGAATCACCACAGCTCGAAAATAAAATATATAGCCTGTAAAATTAAGATAATGTCGTAGCATGTTGCTCTGTGAAGATGGCTGTCTTCCGAGTTGTTTCGCAGTGCAGTCTGATAGAAGATTGTGATGGCGGGGGCAGAAAGCACTTCTGAAACGTCTGTAAACTTCTACCAGACTTCACGTCGCAACAACCCAGAAGAGATCCATCTTCATATTCACTGCAGTGACGTGCTGCTCTAAGTTTATGTACGGAAATAAAATTTCGAAGTAAAGACGGTGACAATAAAATGCGCAGAATTTCAATGAAATAAAATATCAATGCTGATACGAGAAACGTAATATAAAAGGAATGAATAATGTAATACTTTGTGTGTTCCGTGTTTAACGACCATCTCTTCTGTCTGTGGGTCTGCCAATCATATTTCTTCTCGGAACCGGATTTTTCTTTGAAGAGTTTCTTCCTCTTAAAAATACATTGAACTCGTAACTGTAGTATTACTTGGAAGAAGTCTTCTGTCCTTCGTACACGGGAAATTTAATGTCGATAACATGATTCAAAAGGTTATTTCATATAGGAAGAGTCGGAAAGATTGCACACAACGGGTGGCGACAAGTGGTATGGAATGATGACGTACAAGGCGAATGATAATTCGCCTGTTCTGGTTCTGACTCGGGAATTTCCGACTGCGATGTGTGGACGCCAATTGCTACTCTGCGGCTTTCTTCGTTGAAACACATGACAATATAAAACATAACAACAATAACGTGAGAAATATATTATTTGATATGTTCTAAATAGACAGAAGATGACTTGTCTTCTGAGTTGTTGCGCTGTGTAGTCTGGGAGAAATTTACCGACATTCTTGAAACTTTGGTCAGTATCTAAAAGACTACACGTGTAACATAACAGAAGACCGCCATATTCATACTCGCCGTGAGAACCGTAAATCTCATTTTATAAATAATCCTCTATGACCCATGCAAAACTCACTGCATGCCAGATTTATACACAAATACATAAAATTAACATGTATAGAACATGAATTTTGGCATTCGAAAACCTAAGGGGCTGTTGGAACAATACTTCAGTAATATACTATTTTTATTCAAACTGCATGTTTGTGGAAAACCTATTCCTTGTTTACAACTCGCTACAGCACAGGCACTACTTACTGGGATTGCGTCTGGGTAGGATCTGTGGTTGTACAGATGAACATCCCGATCTGCGTACTTGGTCGCAGTTGGTGCCAGGAGGTCAGGGATTGCCAGCAGGCTTCCTTTCTTCTGGGCTAAATGCATGTTATGGTCATAGTGGATAGGTTCCCCGTATCGAACAGCCTCAAAGTTGGCACCTGGATGGGTCGGCGGTACGTGAATCATTCGTCCCTGATAAGAGTCAGCGGTGAGTCCTCTGAGTGCAGCTGCTCTTGCAGCGGCCTCCTCGGCCATGCGTTGTTCCTGCAGCTCCCGCGCCCTCTCCAGTCTTATCAAGTCCTTCACCTGCTCGAAACTGCTAGCCATTGGCGGCGTGTAATGTCGGAATTGTTCAACAGGATGGCTGGACCCTCCTGATAATCTGAACGACGCGACTTTGCGAGGTGGGACACCAGTGATTGCTCCCTGTTGTCCTCCTCCGATGAGACGGGCAGCCACTTCCTCGTAGGCGCGATTACGTTCTTGGGAATTATCTCGTGACCTTGATCTCGGAGGGGAATGCACGATCCGCCCATACACATAACGACCGTTTCCTCGCGATCGACCGCCACCAACACTCCGTGGTCTGGCGTATGGTTCCCACACATTGTATACGAATGGGTCTCTGTATGTGGGGATTTCGTTAGTAATTTCCGTAGCACGGGATTGTCGCTTTGAGTATCGCCACATGGCTCTCAGCTGATCGCAGCTAGGCTCACCGACCAGATCGCCGTCCCAGGATCCACCAACAGCCGTTGCGGGCACAAACTCAGTTCGCTGAGCACTTCCGCTCCCCGACAGCTTGTAATCTGTAGCCCGAGGTAGAGCAGCACAGGTCAGTACCAGGGATACGTAGATTATGCAACAGGTAATGGCTGGTCCAGTTTTCATGATTATCTGCAACAAACATCACCCGAATTATTTTAACATAGCTCTCAGTGACCAAATGGACGAAGACTAAGAAATCTGAACAATAAAATATAAAGGTGTCAGACAAGATTAAATTTGATGTCACTTTTAAAAATCACCTATATCTGAAATTGAGTAGGAATGATTTTTTTTAATTCTGAACAACGTTATGACTTACATTCCAATTTTGATCGTTTATACAGCCTTTAATTGCAAGATAATCGTTTGTGATTCTTGTAAACGAAGCACAGCACTTGCTATTCCCTCTTAAGCCAAAATGCTGTCATTCTGTGCCTGCAACGTGCATAGCGTACCAGATATTGAAATGTTAGCTTCAGTATTTAGAGGAAAGTACAGATCTTATTAGGTAAACGTTTGGTGAATAAATGCTAATTTTATTAAACGCTAGTATGTGTATCACATATGGCGAGTTCTTATATGATTTGACAAATATTTGTCATCTACTATATGTTTGGTTTATTTCTTAGAGTAAAAACATTGATGACCAAATTATAGGAACAGAGTGAAACACATCGCTGCAACGTCATTAGTGTTGAGCGGAAATATTCTGTTTTAATTTTGTAGTCAGTAACATGGTTGAAACAGGTTTAGTTTATTTGCAACGAAAACTGCCAGTAATAAATTTCGTTTAATCTGAACGCCCATCCGTTTGTTTCCACTACGAAACATTAAATGTGTGTCAAGTCTGAGGATGTCAGCCACAGAAGTAGAAAGCCGTTAACTACTCCAAGTTAACCGTGCTTCCTAAAATATATAGGTTACAAACATTTTGTTAACATTTACGGTGAAACGTGTTCATATATATAGTATATATAAGTCATTATTCTATTCTTATTTTAACCTTTTAACTTTAACTTTGTGAATTCAGTTATAGAGAGCGTACAACACATTTCTTACTAAACCTTTAAAATGTTGTCTGTAAGACGCTTTTGAACTAGTTTCGTCTCAAGTCCTTCTCTTGACCTTTATTTTCTACTCGTATTTGTTTCTGTACTTTGATGTTAAAGAAAACAATTGCATATTTATTCTACAGATGCAGTTACTTGCCTTCGTGCTTGTTATCGTTGTTGGTAGAGTTTTGGTACCATGTATTACAGAACGTGTTCTCGAATTGTATGTCTTGTGACCTACTTAGAGATGCAATATTCCGTTTTCTTGTTCAAATAATGACGCTTGAAATGAAAGGCAAACATCTAAGTATGATTGGATGTATTTTCGTTGTCGTTTTCATGTACAGATTATAATTTGTATTTTATAAGAGTTTAGGATTCAATATTCTGTGCGATTCAAAAATGTTTTCACGGCTGTCAAATTAAAACTATATACCAACTGTATTATTTCATTGAAATTAGAAAATTTGATTTAATTTCCGCTTTGAATTTTTTACCTTCGGACACGTGAGTCATTGCTACTTTTACGAAATTGCTATTTTTGTATAACAGATACAATTATAATAAGAAAACACGAAGTTAAATACTGGAATTTGTTTGGTATCTCTTTAAAAAACACATATAGTTATACAGACCATGTTTGAGTGAGATAAAACTAATGAAGAGAAGGTAATATTGCTATTTGCTGGTGTATATTTTTTTTACTTTGGAGTAGAATGGTTATAGAATCAATGCTTGTTCAAATTTCGGTAATTGAAACAATTTCTTGACATGGTTGCTCATTTTAAACTTTATTGCGGTGCTCAGATGTAGATTATTTTTAATATATTTATTTGACATCATTTGACGACGTTATTTCGCTGTTGTGATGATGGCTTTGATAAGTGAAATGTGTGTTACGTATTATACATTTGATCATGGTCGTATGTTCATGAGTTTATACTTACATTTGAGAATAACCGAACTTCTAGCCGAGACGTGAACCCGGGATTATTCTCGAATACAAAACAGTGGAATGAGCTTATTTGTTGGTGAGTGTCTAATTGTATTCGCATGGAAAAGCTGGAACGAATATGCAGTTAGTATTTTAAGATTCCAGCTGCATGTCGGATTAAGATGGCTGAATTTTGGGTTACAACTCGGTGTAGAACCCAGAAGACAGCCATCTTCTTACTCGCTGCCGTGAGGACGTCAGATCCTAGTTCGTGTGGGACAGCGCCAGTGTTATTAGGCTACATATTGTTTTGCTGCAGGATATTGAAGTAGAAAGAAACGCCGGCGTAGGAAGCCATGCTAAATTCAATTTTCCTTTTCAAGATCTTGTAGAAAAAAAGAATGAAAGGAAAACAGAGACAGACAAAACATCTAAAATTATGCAACAAATGAAAGTGAAAAAGCGTGTGGCTAGTTCAGTACAATATAAAAAGAAATTTTGTATTTGTCTTATGGGTTGTAGCGCCGAATGAACTTGCAGGTAGTTACCAACGTTTCGGATAAACGGAAATATTTCCATTTTCATTCCCAGCAAGGAACATATAGATTTTTACAGTACAGTTCCAATTATCTAATCTTCACTTATCTGACATTCTGTCTTGTCCAACATACCCATTACTAATTTCTTGAAAAAAGTAAAATTCTTTCATTTAGAAGTTTACGTTATGATGTTTGCGAGATTTGTTAAATCGATGGCGTATTGTATTTTATTCGTCATTTAATAATATCGTAAATTGAATCGATATTTTCCGTCGTCTTTTTCATTAGCCTTATCTGACATTTTCGTTTATTCTACCGTCCTCTGGTCCCGTTTAGGTCTGATAATCTGGACTCTGCTGTATTGCTCGTGTACTACGCACTGAAATGACGCTTGTGACGTTCTGTTTTTGTTGAGGCAGTGCTTTATGTTTCTAGAATAAAGGATAGAAATTTCTGTAGCTTACTCTGAAATTATAGTTACGTTTCAGTACTTTATTATTCTCCATTATTCCTATTATTCCACTTCTCCTCCTTCACTACTCCCTACCCATGATCACTGTCCATGTCATTATCGTCATTATCATTACTTGTTAATTGCTCGTGTAGTTTTACGTCCCACCCTCTGCTGGGTTCTTATCGAGACAATGATGGATGGGAATAAAATGCTATGTGAATGAAGAACAACGTGTAAGGGAAAATGGTAACTTCTCTTAAGTTATTCTCTCATCTTAAACACCGTCATCATCAGTTTTATGTCTTGTTTTTAATCTCATTCTTTTCTTCAATCCGCCGCCTTTCTCTACCGAGCTGGTTCGTGTACATACGACACTGCAAAGCTGTAATCGTGTCGTACGCAGTTCATGCACGGATGATACTTTGAAATGGAGCGAACCCGCGTCCTTGCAACTTCTTACGTAGATTTTTCATTGTTACATTACAATCCACATTTTTATTGCTGTGAAAGCCTGAAATCTCGTGTCTTAATTATTAATTAGACAAGGTTGTTCTGTCAAATGTGACATCATTAAGTTTCAAGGAACCTGTACATTCTATTAAATTCCGTTAATTATTTATTTAATTAAAAATTGTAATACAGTTAAAGTTTTGTGTAATGAGAAGAATTTATGTTCTAATACTATATCGGTCTGAAATGCCGATTCATATACCACCTGTTAATTACCGACTAGATTGATTTCTTTTATGGTTGATTTTAACTCAGTAATGCAAGATGGAAAATGGTACAATAGAAGAATCTTGGCACATAGGACGGCACTTGAGATTTGTGTGCTTCACCGTCTTTTCCTGTTATCATAATAACCGTTCTGTACAACGATCATTTAAGCATTTCAATGTGCAGAGTTATGTGGAGATGCAAATGTATAAAATGTCAGATTCTAGTCCTCTTCACATAATTTATTTTATTACATTTAAATTAAATTCATTCTGCATGTAATACCGCATTTCCTCAATTTTAAGACGCCATCGATTGTAAGACGCACACTCGATTTATTAATAGGTTTTTAAGAAAAAGGACTCTATGTCAATTCTTAGAGGCCACTAAATGTAAGAACCCCGATTTAAGATTTTTTAATTTAAAAGAAAAGCGTATTAAAATCCAGGAAATACCGAAATAGGTTTACTGTTATTTATGAATTTGTTGGATAGACTTAGATTGTTCTACAGTCCCTTAATATATATGGAATGATGGTTAACATGCATCAGTCATATGAGCAGACACGTAACGTGCATAGAATAAATAAGAAATTCTTTCACGGATTCAGTTATAAAACCTGAAGGGAAGATATCACTTGAGAGACGTAGGCACAGATGAACAGCTATGTGAAAACGGATGTTAGAGAAATCGGGTATTATCTTGTGGATTCGATTTCACTTGCTCGCATTATTTCTGTGAATATGGCAATGAATATTTTGGTTGTATAATCGTGTGAAGTTTCTACATCAATTTAACTACTACAAGTATGAACGTTTCTAGAAACACCCTGCAGCATACAGCCTAGTTACATAAATTATCATTAGTGTTTATAAAACCGCAGGACGCAATATTGCTAAATTGAAACACTAGCTTAACTTGTATGCATATTTATATTTGCCCGTCACACTGAATTTCAATTTCCTCGCCACAGAGAGGAAAAGTTATCTCGGAACTGAGCCGCAGAGCTGAAACGACAGGGTAATCACCTGTTGCATGACTTTCGGATAACTTTGATGAAAATCACTGCATTGTTTCAAAAGTTTTAAAGAGAAGATTCATAAACAGAAACCGAATTCCTTATAAGCGTTTTTCCTCAGTACAAGAAAATTGCATTAGTAATAACAAGAGCGAAAGAATAGGCAATTAGATGCCTCCATGTGGCTATTGCAGTTATTTTCTTGAAGATTTCTGTCTTCTGGGTTGTTGCGCTGTGTAGTCTGGTCGATTCATCGCCCTGATGACGGAGGCAGTATGACCTCTGAAACGTTGGTAAACATTGACCAGACTACACAGCGCAACAACCCAGAAGACAGAAATCTTCATACTCACCGCAGTGAAAACCTCAAATCACACAAATCATTTTCTTCTTCTACGTATTAGGCCCTACTTCT